TCATTTACACATAATATCATGTGATACAACTCATAGGATAACACCATCTTCAAAGAGTTGTTCAACCACCTTCAAGTGTTCTTGGCTTTAAGATATTCACCATCACCTCCTTATCCAACCACAAACACACTCAAGGTGAGTTCATACCCCCATATTTTCGAGTTTTCATGTTTCTAGGTGTGGGGGGGGGGGGGGGATACAAAAAAACATTGATTTATAACACAAATGTTTGCATGTTTTAAATCTATGTTGTGTTTAAAGCATTTTTCTTCATGAAATGTGTTTAGTATTATTATTTGTTTGTAGAACATTTATTTGTATTATGATGGATAATGATACAAAACTAAGAAAAACAAACATAAACTATGTTTTATATATATATATATATATATATATATATATATATATATATATATATATATATATCTTATAGAAAAGGGGTTAAAACCACAAAACTACAAGGATTTTAATACTTTCATGGTCAAAATACGATTTCCTAGCAAACTAGACAAAAATACCAATGCGTTAGCTTTACAAAAGAAAACTCAAAAATCTATCATTATTTGTAAAAATGGATTTTTAAACACAAGTGGTCATAAAAGGTTTAAGACATCATTTTTTGGGGTTTTAGCTAAAAATATATGGTTTCAAAACATATAAAGTTATTTGAGTTAAAAATCCTAAGAGGGGTAAAAAGAAGTTTTACAAAGTTATTTTGTGTAGTCATCGGTAAATATCGTTAAAAAGGGGGCAAAAGCTAGAAATGGACTTTTCATATCAATTTCTCATACTTGTGATAGATGAGGTTTTTTTATGATATAATATTTTAAAGAAAAATCATCTAGATAATATAAGTATTACGCATTTATATAAATGATTATATAAATAGACTTAACAAAACAATCATAATAAACTATAATTGATATAGTTTGAGAGTCACAAACACTACTTTATCATTTCAGACGAAACATATAATTATTTAAAGGTATAATTATTTTTAAACTACGTAACCACAATGAAAGAGTAATACTTGCATTTGCAAGAAAAAAGGCTTTCATTACACTAGACGTAATCTTGTTGATACAAGTTGTGAGTTACTATCTTCACCGTACCTACCAGAGTACACACTAAAGTTATGCATTATAACAAGAGTCTTGGTAAGAGAGCACGATACTTGTGTATAGATATATACGAGACTGAAAACCCCGCACCTAAGCTGTTAGCTACAGTTAAACCGGCAGGTCTAGGGTGACAAAATTCTAACATTCTGATGCCAGAAGAACGTCATAGCAGGCTACTAGTCGCTAGCACGGTTATAATGACATACATGGAGTATTAAAAATACATTTGGTTTATGGGTTTAACATACATTCAGTTAATTTTATATAAAGATAAAACTTCATAATATTATTTTCCAGCACAACACTACTTACATTTTTGGTCTTGGATTTAAGACTTCCAACTTATTCTAAAAGAAAATATTGGATTTTTTAAAAGGACACTCTATCATTTTTATCAGGAAAAGTAACTAATTCTTCTCATACAAAACTCTTGTGAACTCACCAACTTAATTGTTGATACTTTTTCAAAACCACTTGTATTCTCAGTGAATCAGTAAATAGGTAACCAAAAAGGTTTTGTGGATGGGGCGTCGCCACGTCACATCATTTACTTTTGTCATATGTATTTGATATCAAGCAAACAATGATTTGAATAAAATGTAAACTTATAAATTATCAATATGATGGTTGTATGGACTTGATCACTATTATTCATATGTTATAATACTATACATGAAGTCATCTACCCCCAGACGTTTCCACCGTTCTAGTTTGGGGGTGTGACAAGAACAAGAGGTAACACTCTAACATGTAACTTTTGTTTCAATATAATTAGGTAACACCTTAACATACTAACACTAAACTTGTGGACGTAGGTTTTGGTTAGTAATTCATAGTCAACAACATGTGTTTGAAGCAAGGAGAGGATGCGATAACTACATGGTGGATTTGGATGGATGGCACTGTACCTGTATGTTATGGGATTTGGTTGGGATCCCATGTGTTCATGCCATTGCAACCATCAATTATATCCATCAAACACTTGATGAGTATATTGATAACATGTTTTCTAAGGATGCATTCCTCAAGTGTTACTCTACTAACATTAGTCTAGTGAATGGATCAAATCTATGACCTCAAGCTAACTTCATAAAGTCCTTACCACTAGTATCAAGGAGAATGTCTGGTAGGCCAAAGGTCAATTGAAGGAGACATGTAAGTGAAAATGATGGAAGAGTACTCACCCCAAGAATTGTAAGGTGTGGTAAGGGCTTTGAGTATGACCATAACTAAAAGGATACAAGAATGCAACCAGGGAACCTGTTCCTATGCCACCAAAGAAGAAAGGAAATCCAATGAAGGAACAATATGAACCCAGTCATGTGTAACGCCCGTAGATCCAAGCTAGTCAATTTAGAGGCAATAAGTGGCGAAAACGACTTTTCGGCAAATTATTATTTATAATAAATAGTCTTAACCAAGTTGTATAATATGTCTCAAGGTTTTCTTACATATAAAGTACGCCAAAATCCGAGTTATAACGAGGAACTTATGGCCCGTAGAAGTTTTACGGAAAAACCGGCACGACACCAGGAAGCGTAAATAGTAAATTTATGATGGAGAGAATTTTAGCCTTACAAATCTAAACAAAAGTTGTAGTATATGTTAAACCGAGAACATACAAAAAAAGAATGCCTAAATCTGACTTCGTATGAGGAAGTTATGATTTTTCTAAGATTCGGCTTAGCAATGCACGACCCGAAACTCGAATTTTAGTTTGAGCGGTTTTTGGCTTACGCGACCTAAATGAGAGTTGAATATCTCATTAATAGGAACTCAACTGTAAAAAGATAGACGAAAACGGAGTCCGTATGAAGGAGTTACAAGTTCTTCGCGGTCATTTAACAGTCTAAATGCCTCCTACTGTTAAATTTGAGATCGGTCAAGAATTAGCTGACGGAATCTAAATGAAAGTTGTAGATCATGATTTTACCTACGCATTGAAAAAACGAACATCGAAAACGGAGCTCGTATGCGAGAGTTATGATTTTTATAAGTTTGAAGGCTGATACGTGATAGGGGTGACGTGGCACCACCATAATTGGACACGTGGCACCGCCAGAAGGCTGCCACATGCCCCAACTAGGTGAGTAGGTCCTCTTACTCAGCGAGTCCATCAGGAATTCAGCCTATAAATAGAGGTGTCGTGTTCCTCCATTTCCCACACCTTTCCCCACTTCTTTCTCTCTCTAAACTCTCTCTCTCTCTCTCTCTCTCTATAAGCCTCCCTAACCCCCCAAAGCCTAAGGTAACTCCCTAGCACAAGGCGGAAGCCCCGGAGCACCCGACGGCTCCAAGAAAAGAGCCTTTCGGCTCGGGAACGCTGCTCCAGCGAAGCCCGATTTTGCAAAAAACCCGTTGTAAGTGAGCTATGCCTACGCTATTTTTAATATAGGTTCTAATTAATTATAGTAACATTATTAGGACCTTAAAATAATTATTTGGGCTATTATTATGAGTTATATTGAGTGTTATTTAGCGCTTATATAATAATAATAATAGCTAGACTATTAATTAGTCGTGGTTAACATCATACTAAACCCTAGTAATATTGATACTAGGTTTTGTCGAGGAAAATTGTGTTAAGAGTAACGAAGTGTTGTCCAAGCACCGAGTCACCATCTTCTCAGGTGAGTACATGGTCCATTTCATCTTACACATAGATATGAAGTATTTTAATATAAATTACGTGCTATGTGTGCATATTGTCTGAATACTTGTTGTCTATGCCGGTGAAAGATTTTTATACATGTTTTAAATGATGTAAACTGTATAAAGTATTTTATATCTACAAAATATGTTGGGTAAAACATGGGTAAATGAATGATGAGGGATAAAAGTTGAAATATAGGAACATGAGTAGTACGGACCTAGTTCCCCATAGGTATACATTGGCAGCAGTGGACCTAGTACCCTATAGATGAGCACTGGAAGTTGCGCCACAACCCGTAGATGATTTAGATCTACGGTAAACATCCTAGTAGCTACGCTCTAAGGACAGTATCGGCGGCTGCGCCTAATAGGGAATGTTATGACCATGACAGTAGCGTTTAAAGGTTAATACCGGCAGAAGCGCCTCATAGAAAATGTCCCAATTCTGGCAGTTGCGCCTAAGTGACAATATTAGCAGCTGCGCTTGACCAATGTTCATTGGCAGCGATGGACTTCATGTTTTTTCCTTAGGATGATCCTTAGGAATGAATGAATGAGAAATAGATGATTCTTAGGGTAGATCGTTAAGAATAAAGAAGATAATAGGGATGGGTAATTGGGTTGATTGTTTGATTGTTTAAACATAATAATTATATTATTGTGGGTTGAAAACCCTATGTACTCACTAGGTTTCCCAACCTGACCCACTCAGCTTATTTGTATCACAGGTGTCGATACGAAGCTACTTTGCACTGAGAGATTTAAAAAGAGATGTAGATCATTAGTATAAATAAATGTAAGTTTTGTTTATGCTTATGTTTCTGTATTGACGATGACATCCCAAGGTTTTTAAAGAATAAAATACATTTCTTCGGAAATGCTTTGATAATACATTTATCATGTTTTTCTGGAAACAAATTCCGCAACATTTTTATTAAAAGAAGAACTCTGATTTTCAAACAAGCATAAACAAAATCGGTATTTTCTGGCCGTGAAAATGGGGATGTCACATCATGTATCATGTGATAGGTCTGAGAGGTAGGAACCAGTTCCTATGCCACCAAAGAAGAAATGAATACCAAGGAAAAAGGTCCAATCTGATCCGTTTAAGCGTCAAGTTCTAAATATGTTAGAAGCAAAAAGAAGTTGGGTATAAAAGGTAGAGTTCTAGTTGATGAGAATGATGGTATAGATGGTCATGTTGAAGGTAGGTGGTTTAAGAAACAAATGAATGATTTGTTAGACAAAGAAGATACTGATGATGGCGGTGTGGTTGATATGATGTGCACTTCTGAAGCCGCTATTAGCCGACAAACAGATAACGATGAGAAAGGTGATGATTTCCAAGATGCAATGGATTCTCTTCTTCAAGGTACTGATGACAAATGGTATGAGGATGTCGAACCTGACTTGACAAAAACACTCGATGAGGTTGGAGATGCAATGTATGCTATTCTTAAAGGTACTAATGAAAAAAGTCAATCTGAGAATGAGGGTAATCTTGTAACAACCCAATTTTCACATCCAAAATTTTTTTGTTTAAAAACGTTACTTTAGAAAATATTAATAACTAAAACATCGTTTGATCAATCATAATATAAACTGAACCATGTCTGAAAACCACAAAATACAACCAATCAGAATATCAGAGTATCAATCCCAGAAAACCTCGTAAATACGGAAACCGAAGAGTGTGTGTGTGACATGCTGCTACCGCGCCGGCTCCTTTCCCCTAGCTGAGGAGGTACCTGAAACCAAAACTGAAACTGTAAGCACAAAGCTTAGTGATTTCCCCCATAATACCCCATACCATGCATACATATAACAAACAATGTTCAGCTAGGAGTTACGGGCCTTGCCCACACTCGGGAAGATACGGGCTCTGCCCACACTTCGCTAGCCCGGAGATACGGGCCTCGCCCACACTTGTGAAGATACGGGCCCTGCCCACACTTCGCGGTCAGGGAGATACGGGCCTAGCCCACACTCCAACCTCGGAGAGATACGGGCCCTGCCCACACTCAGCCGCTAACCCATAACATACAGGTATCATGCAGATAACAAGTATAAGCAACTCTATCATATTAACACATATATCATACTTGACCTAACCCAGAGATACGGGCTCGGCCCACACTCTAGTACTAGCATCTCGTCTACACGGGTCGGCCTTGGTGCCTTAGACCCGTTCCTACTGGAAAGAAAACTCACCTCGAAATAGTTGCTGGTCTGTGTGGGAATTGATCACCTACTACTGCTGTTGCTGCTCCGGAAACCCCCCGGCTGTAATTCACACAATATACTTAATCACACACTGCTAACTGTCCTTTGGGTGAAAAGACCATTTTACCCCTGGTCTAGCCCTAAGTCGAATCAGAGTCAACTTTCAGTTGACCCGACTCGCCGAGTTGGCTCTCTAACTCGCCGAGTCCCTGTCCAGACGATTGTCCTGGGTCCCTGATTCTACTCGTCGAGTTAGGCTATGACTCGACGAATTCTTCTTCTAAACTGACATTAAAGTTCTTCGTCCTACTCGCCGAGTTGTATGAACACTCGTCGAGTTCATCTTCATTCGATGAACACTCATGCTTAGACTCACCGAGTTGTATGAACAACTCGCCGAGTCTGTTCTTGATCTAAGGAGATTGCCTTGAACTCGCCGATTCAGGGCATTGACTCGCCAAGTACCTCCATAGATGGGTTAAGCTTACGACTCACTGAGTCACACCCCGTGACTCACTGCTCACTCGACATTACGAAAAGGGGACAAACTCGGAGACTCGCGAACAGACTCGCCGAGTCATATGAACGACTCGCCGAGTCGTTCCCATGCACCCACTAAATACACGGATTTCCTCGATTCCACTCAGTGGCATTCATAGATCTAGACTTCTAGGACACAAATCACACGTAAAGTTTCCAACTTTACGTGTGGATATTCACCAATATGGATTTTAGGGCTCAAAATGCCTTAAAAGGGTAGATCTAGGGCTAACAAGCAACATGGGGCGATAAAGCTAACAGATCTGAGCTCCTGGAGCTCAATCTTGCCTAGATCCAGAGGCCAAACATCTTATTACGACATATAATCCACATACAAGCTTGGGGATTTGACCAAGAAAGACCCAAATGAAGTTTTAAGCATAAAATCATGGGGAAAACGGGTTATACCTCAAAGGAACTGTTGGAAGAACACAATAATTGCCTGGATGTCTTCCCTTCTTCTGGATCTACTTCCTTCCTCCTTCAAAACCTTCAAAAACACACACAATAGCCTCCAACTCTCAAGGAACAGCTTAGAACGGGGGATACAGGGCTCTAAGGGTGAATGGGGGCTGGCTTGGGGCAGTTAAGTCGTTTAAATAGGGTGCAAACCCCTGAAACTTAGGGTTTCATCCAACAGCGGCGACTTACCGAGTCCAGGATATGGACTCGCCGACTCGCCAACTTAAAACGTGTCCCGGGTCACGTCCCTACTCGGCAAGTCGGACCTATGACTCGCCGAGTCCAAGGCTAAAATAGGAAATATTCGGATAAGATTTACATACCAGAAACCAGGTGCTACAAATCTCCCCCACTTATTTTAGACTTCGTCCTCGAGGTCTGCTGCTCGATCCTGAAACAGCTCGGGGTAATGCTCCATCATCTCGTCCATCGGCTCCCAAGTCCATTCTGAACCCTTGCGGTGTTGCCATTGCACCTTCACTAATTCCACCCTCTTGTTCCTCAAATCCTTCGACTTCCTGTCGAGGATTGCGATTGGGCGCTCAATGTAATTCAGGTTGTCATCAACCTAAGTATCCTCCAAAGGCACTACTGCTGAATCGTCCACTAAGCACTTCCGCAACTGGGAAACATGGAAAGTGTTGTGGATCTGGCTGAGCTCGGCTGGCAGATCCAACCTATACACCACCTTGCACACCCGGGCTACGACCCTGAACGGTCCGATGAATCGCGGGCCCAACTTGCCCCGCTTCCTGAATCGAATGACGCCTTTCCAAGGCGACACCTTCAGGAGAACCATATCCCCGACTTGGAACTCCAAATCGGATTGATGCTTGTCGGCATAACTTTTCTGTCGACTCTGAGCAATCTGAAGTCTGCTCCGGACCTGCTGGATCCTCTCGGTCATCTTGAGCACCACTTCGGTGCTCCCCATGACCCTCTGGCCATCTTCACCCCAGCATATCGGGGTCCTACACCTCTGTCCGTACAGCATCTCGAAGGGAGGGCAGTCGATACTCGCGTGGTAGCTGTTGTTGTAGGAGAACTCGGCCAGGGGAAGATAGGTATCCCAGCTACCACCGAAGTCTAGCACGCACGCCCGCAGCATATCCTCCAGAGTCTGGATGGTCCGCTCGCTCTGGCCATCTGTCTGCGGGTGAAAGGCGGTGCTAAAATGCAGACGAGTGCCCAACTCGTCATGGAATTTCTTCCAAAATCTGGAAGTAAAACGCACATCCCTGTCCGAGATCACCGATACTGGCACCCCATGCCGTGCCACAATCTCCCTGATATAGATGTCGGCCAATTTCTCGGCTGATATGCTCTCCTGAATCAGAATAAAGTGAGCACTCTTGGTCAATCTATCCACGATGACCCAAATCGAGTCCACTCCACGTGCGGTCCTGGGAAGCTTCGTGATAAAATCCATCGTGATATCTTCCCATTTCCACAGTGGAATATCCAATGGCTGCATTTTGCCATGCGGTCTCTGATGTTCGGCCTTGACCTTCCTGCAGGTCAAACACCGCTCGACGTACCATGCCACATCCCGCTTCATGCAGGGCCACCAGTAATCCAGACGAAGATCCCTATACATCTTCGTCGCCCCGGGATGAATAGAGAATCGGACTTGTGCGCCTCCTCCATCAAAATCTGGCGCACGCCTCCGTGATACGGCACCCACACCCTACGGTGTAGTGTCAATAGTCCTCGGCTATCATAATCAAAGGAGGAAACCTGACCCACCACGCGCTCGCTCTTCCGATGCTCCTCCTTGATAGCCTCCTGTTGAGCCTCCCGAATCTGCTCCAACAGGGGAGTCACCACGGTCATCCTCAAGCAGACGTCCCTGATCGCGCCGCCTTGCGGCTAAGCGCATCGGCCACCACATTGGCCTTCCCCGGGTGGTAAAGGATCTCGCAATCATAATCCTTCACCACATCCAACCACCGACGCTGCCTCATGTTCAGATTCGGCTGGTCCATGAGGTACCTCAAACTCTTGTGGTCCGTGTAGATGGTACACCGAACCCCGTAGAGGTAATGTCGCCAAATCTTGAGAGCAAAGACCACCGCCCCCAACTCCAAATCGTGCGTCGGGTAGTTCGCCTCGTGAGGCTTGAGCTGCCTCGAAGCGTAGGCAATGACATGCCCCCTCTGCATCAGTACCGCGCCCAACCCAGAAACGGACGCATCACAATAGACCACAAAATCCTCTACGCCCTCTGGCAGGGCTAAGATCGGCGCCTCACACAATCTCCGTCTCAGCGTCTCAAATGCAGCCTGCTGCTCGGGTCCCCACCGAAAGACCACGGCTTTCTTCGTCAGCCGTGTCAGGGGTACGACTATCTTGGAGAAATCCTGGATAAATCTCCGATAGTAGCCCGCCAATCCCAGGAAACTCCGAATCTCAGATGGAGACTTCGGGACCTCCCATCTCATCACGGCCTCGACCTTGGCCGGATCAACCAGAATCCCGTTCTGGTTGACGAGGTGTCCAAGAAATTGCACCTCGCGCAACCAAAACTCACACTTGGAGAACTTGGCATACAAGCTCTCCCTCCTCAGGGTCTCCAATACCTCTCTCAGATGCTCCTCGTGTTCCTCCCGAGTCTTGGAATAAACCAAGATATCATCGATAAAGACTATCACAGACCGATCCAGCATCGGTCTGCATACGCGGTTCATGAGGTCCATGAACGCGGCAGGAGCATTGGTGAGCCCAAACGGCATCACCACGAACTCATAATGACCATAGCGCGTCCGAAACGCGGTCTTCTGCATATCCTCCTCCCTGACCCTCATCTGATGATAACCCGAACGCAAATCAATCTTGGAGAACCAAGATGCTCCCTGAAGCTGGTCAAATAGGTCATCAATCCTCGGAAGCGGGTAACGGTTCTTCACCGTTACCTTGTTCAGCTCCCGATAATCTATACACATCCGATGCGACCCGTCCTTCTTCTTTACAAACAGAATCGGGGCTCCCCAGGGTGAACTGCTCGGACGAATAAATCCCTTGTCTAGCAGCTCCTGCAGCTGCGTAGACAACTCCTGCATCTCGGGAGGGGCCAACCGATACGGCGCCTTGGCTATCGGAGCCGCGCCAGGGACAAGGTCGATCCTGAACTCCACCTGTCGCTCCGGAGGTATCCCAGGAAGCTCCTCTGGGAAAACATCTGCAAAGTCTCGGACCACCGGAACCTCGCTCACTGTCGCCTTACCCGCCTCCCGGGTATCCATCACATACGCGCATATCCTGCGCATCCCTGCTAGCCCTGCAGCTGAACATACAGTGGGTCCATACTGAGGCCTCTCTCCATGAATCACTAACTCTCCCCCGTTTGAGG